AGAACAATGATATGATCCCGGTTTGATGATGAATTCGTTACCGTGGCAAGTAGAGTTAATGACGTTGTCGTGGTAAGTGAAGTTGCCAAGGCAAGAGTTAATGATGTTGTCGTGGCAAGTGACGTTGCCATGGCAAGTATAGGATCACATCAAACAATTTGGATCATGATTTAAATCTTTAATATTTTAGCGAGTGCGTTAGTCACAAAAGTGGCCCAATCGAATTCATTAAATGATTTATTTATGTTTATAAATGTTTATTTGATGTAGCATCATAAATAACATTTAATAATATAAACATTTATAGTTATTAACATGTAGTTATACGATTACCCAATGTAGATCTTACTCATGATTAATAATAATTGAAGTAGGTTATGAACTTTGTTTAATTAATATATAGTTACATCAAAAGATGGACTTGTATGTTAAAGTAAACTTAATGATTGACCTTTTATATGTTATAAGAATGAGCATGTTTGATGATTGTTGGTTGTGTTTTGATTAGCCCAAAGGTGAATTTAAATGTAATGTTTTGGTATATTATAGTCTGATTGTGGTTTAAATTCAAAGTAATTAATATAAGATGTAAATGTTTGCAGTGGTCTCTATATGTCAAATATGACTGCCAATGGTATCAAGTTTAATAGGCAGAACTATGATGATTGGATCGAATATGTCAAACTAAATGTTGGCCTTTTGAAACTAGATTTAGCTCTAGTTATGGATGATCCCACTAAACCAACCAATACCAGTCTAAAGGCAATAAGAAACTATGGAGAACTAGGAGAGATCGAATAGGCTTATGATGAGTTTTCTTAAGCTTAGCATAGTGCCTAATATTAAGCCTTCATAGCCCAATACTAAGAATGTGAGGGAATTTGTGGCTGAAATTAAGAAATTATTATGAATGTCATTGTGGATAAGTCTATTGTTGCTGCTCTTATGATGATTTATCTAATAGGAGTACACTATAGCTCAGCCAATGGAAGAACACATTACTCACATGGTGAATACCTACACCAGCTTAAAAGTTGGGATATGGATCTTGGTGAGAGGGTGTGGTTGAGTTCATGCTAAATCATGTAAGAGTGATGATTCAAACAATTTCGGAGAACATACAACCAACTTAAGGAAAAATGGTCTCTTTCGAATACTCTTGAAGAGGAGGCAAGGCAAAGAGAGACCTTAAGGTCAAACTTCCCCAAGCCAACTTGCCTATTGTGGTAATTCAAACGTTGGTCTATTGGTGACAAAGATCCAAGTAAGAAATGAAAGAACAAGGGAAACAATCATTTAAGATGCAACCCGGTAAAGGGAAAAGGAGGGTTGACAAGATACTGAAATGTTTCTTTTGCAAAACTGGGCACAAGAAGGCTAATTGCCCAAAGAGGAAATGTAATCGTACATTGATGGAAAATTGTTAGAATTATGATGAATGATAGTTCTATACCTATTTCATTATGGATGTACGCATTGAGACTATCGCATACATATTTGAATAGGGTACCTAATAAGGCAATTTCTAAGACACCTTATGAATTGTGGACATCTACGAAGCTAGTTTAAGACATCTTCACGTGTGGGGATGCCAAGCCGAAGTGAGGATATATAATCCATATGAAAGAAGTTGGATTCCAATACCATTAGTGGTTATTTCATTGGATATCCGGAGAGGTCAAAAGGGTATAGATTTTATTGTCCTAACCATAGTACGAGAATTATAGAGTCTGAGAATGATCGCTTTATTGAAAACGACAAAGTCCATGGGAGTATGGGAGCAATAATGTAGAGATGAGAGACTCTTGATGGACCAAAACCCATCAAGTGATCCATCTCAAGTTGATGTTCCTATTATTATAGCACGACCACAAGGCATGAATATGGAACAACACCAAATGAATGCTCCAAATCCAATTAGGGTGCCATTGTTCAAGAAGATGAAGAAAATTATCATGTTAATAGCAAGTGCAACCTCAAGAAAAATAACATTAAGGAGGTATACTAAAGAGAAAGATCGGCTATTTCAAATGAGTATATAGTTTATGCACTTGAGCGTGAAATGACTTGAGTATTGATAATGACCCAGTCTCTTTTGACCAAGCCATGAATGGTGAAAATTCTAACAAGTGGTTGATGGTCATGAAGGAAGAGTTGAAATCTATGGATGATAAAAATGTTTGGGAAATGACAGATTTCCAAAGGATTCTAAAAGAGTCAGTTTTAAGTGGGTCTTTAAGAGCAAGCGAGACTCTGAAGGCAATGTCGAGAGGTATAAAGCCAGACTTGTTGCCGAAAGTTATACTCAGAAGGATGAAATTGACTGTAAAGAGACTTTCTCTCCTGTTTCTTGAAAAGACTCTTTAAGGATTATAATGGCTTGGTGGCTCATTAAGGAAAGACTCTTTTTATTGGAGATTTGAAAAGAAGATGTATATATGGACCAACCTCAAGGTTTTAAGACCACAAGTGAAGAAATTATAACATCCTCAATACTGGGTTAGTGACTAAATTATAAAGTTACAGAATTTGGTGATTAAGTAGAATAGTTGATTAGTTCAAAGACTTATATGAAAAATGTTGTGTAGGATCAAATTGAAAAGAATGAGGAATAGAAGGATAGAATGGTCATTTGCAAGAAAAATAAAGATTGGTTTATATATTAGCTACACATGGAAGAGAATGAAGTTTCCAGACTTCTCTTCTCCTCCTTTCTCTTCGTGCGTGTGAGCCAAGGTAAAGGTAAGAATTCTTATTAGTTGTTATTAGCTGAAATTTAAGTTTGGTTTTGATTATTGACAATATTTAAGCTTAAGGAAAGCTTAATTTATCTTAAAGCAACAAGATAAAGGGTGTATGAAGAATTAAAGGTTAGGAGTTCTTGAATGAAATTTTGAAATAATTCATAATGAGAATTGGAAGTTGAATTTGACTTGTCACCAACTTGATTAAGGAATATGAAGTGTTAGAATTAGATTTAGAACATGTTGGAATTTGAGTGAGATTCTTGAATTCTATGTGGAGGATTGGATTTTGAAGTTTAAGAGGTATTGAATGTGTATTAATTAGTTTAAGTAGGTGTATGAAAATTAGGGATATTAAAGGAGATGAAATATAAAGTGTTGAGCTAAAAAAGAAGTGAATTTCGTGCTCAAAATGTAATTTCTGGGTTGTATGCATCGGTACACATTCAATGGGTACCGATGCACTATCAATGGAATGAAAACATCGAATGCCATTAGTGCATCGATACACCACCTTAAGATGAAAACATCGAATGCAATTTGTGTACCGATGCATAAGTAGTGCATCGATGCATTCGTTAAAGGATGCATCGATACACTATAGAGTGCATCGATACCTACATTATTTAAGAGATGAAAGTGCCATTTATTTTAGTCTAAGAAGTGATAGATTATAATATATTAATTAGTATACAGATATGTATCAATGCATTACTATGTAGATATAGAACGTAATCTTATTCCAGAACAATCGAAAGATTAGGATCGAGTCAAAGCAAGCAAGGCTAAGTTGAGTGCATATCCTAGATGAAATTGAATTGAGATAAGACTTGCGATGAGTCTATCTCTTATAGTTAAACTTATGATTTCATATTCATGCACATGCATACTTATATATGTATTATTGTTATAGTGATTTTATGCATAATTCATTCATGCTTTAATATGAACTTATATGAATGAATGCAATTATATGAGAATCCATTCAGGTATGGGAATAATGAAAATGATCATGTGTACTATGAAGTGAATTATGTGGTTATGTGAAAAGTGATAGAAGATATATGAAAATTAGAATTGTATTATAATTAATCCCATGTTACTTAATGTGAGAGATATAGGTATAATTGACATGCCAAGAGTCGAGGGATTATCAGTGGTCCTTCAGGACATAACGGTCTTTCGGGATAAATATTCAGTGCCCCTAGTGGGATTTTATTCGAGCTGTGGTGACAGCATTGTGTACAACCTCAATGTAATCACGTACCTTCTGTTCTCAATAATGTACATGGGCATTCAAAGATAAATTAAAGGAAAACTCTTATGAGACATAATTGTTCTTTCACGCATATAATACTTATATGTCATAGTGTGGTATCTACATGTGCATTGTAATGTTATATTGGATTGAGAATAGTATATGTTCATGATATTATTGATATATATTTATTTTATGTCTCACTAAGTATGTGGCTTATCGTGTAAGTGATTTACACGTAGGTACCAAGAATCCAGAAGAGCAGAAATAAGAGTAGCAAGGACATCATCATTCCTAGAAGATCAGATCAGAAGTAACTAATAAAATATGTATTTTGATTGTGTATAGTGTGTTGGCATGTAAGAAAAGTGTTAGTTATGAATGCTTAGATCAATTTTGTTTTACTTTGGTCAACTTATGTAAATAAACCACTTTTATTTTAGTGAATGTTTTAAATTTCCTTGACTTTTTATTAAGAGTTAAAGTTTGAAAAGTTAATGTGACACCTTAGACTCGTATCCGGGTCGAGTACGGGTTGGGGGTGTTACAGAAATCTAGTATGTAAGTTGAAGAAATCAATCTATGGATTAAAACAAGCTTCCCGACAATGGTAATTAAAGTTTAATGATAATGTATTGTCATATGGCTTTGTAGAAATGATCGTTGATCGATGTATCTATATGAAAGTTGTGGGAAGTAAATTTATAATCCTTGTGTTGTATATAGATGATATTCTTCTTGCTGCTAGTGATCGTGGATTATTACATGATGTTAAGGGCTACCTTTCTAGCAACTTTGAGATGAAGGATATGGATGAGGCTTCTTATGTGATCAGAATAGCAATATTTCGAGATAAATTACGAGGAATTTTGGGATTATCTCAAAAGGCTTACATCAACAAATTTATAGAAAGATTTAAGATGGAATCATGTACACCTAATCCATTTCCCATCCAGAAATGAGACAATTTCAGTCTATCCTAATGTCCCAAGAAAGACATGGAGTGCAAAGAAATGGATAATATCTCTTATGCTTCATTAGTTGAGAGTTTGATGTATGCTCAGACCTATACTAGGTCGGATATAAGCTCTGCGGTCGGTATGTTGGGTCGTTATCAATCAAATCTTATGATGGTTCATTGGAGAGCTGCAAAGAAAGTTTTATGGTGCTTGAAATGCACTAAGGATGACATGATCACATATAAAAGAACTAGAAACCTTGAGGTTGTTGGTTACTCAGGCTCGGACTATGTCGGATGTTCGGATACCCGGAAGTCCATATTCGACTATGTGTTCCTTCTAGTTGGTGGAGTTGTCTCATGGAAGAGTGATAAGCAGTCTGTCATTGTTACTTCCATTATGGAGGTTGAATTTGTAGCATGCTTTGAAGATACAGTTCAATCGTTATGGCTGCGCAATTTTGTTGATGATTTAGGGATCGTTGGTACCATTGCTAAATCGATGAGGATTTATTGTGATAATGTGACAGTTGTATTCTTCTCTAAGAATGATATATACTCCAAGGGTGCCAAACATATGGATTTAAAGTATCTGTTTGTCAAAGAAGAGATGCAAAATCAAAGAGTTCAAATAGTCCACATTGGCACTAATAATATGATTGCAAATCAGTTGACTAAATGACTAACTCCTAATATATTTATTGGCCATGTTAGTGAAATTGGAGTAGTCGCGAAGTCCTTATATAGCGGATAATTGTTCATACATGTATCAATATATGTCTTGCACATTTATGTTTGTTTGATACTCTAGATATTGATGTTTTTTGGATTTTGCTTATCTATGAATCATATTTTAGCTATGCATATTTTGTTATGATTATAGATGTTGTATCTTATTTTAAGACATTGTCAAATAAGATATTTTCATGTGTCTATCTTATTAAATTGTGTTTGTTTGAATTGGATTGACCTGTAATACATGGGAGGAATCGAGACGTTTGCTAGGCCCGTGACCGCCATGATTCGATCGGTTTAGTTCTTACGAAGTTGTGACTTTTACATTATTTAAGTGAGCTCAAATTATGTTAATATGTTATATACTTGTCATATATGAATCAAGTGGGAGAATGTTAGAAATTTTGATTTCTAACATTGATTCATATAATTTAAGTAATTGATAATTGATGTTGTTGTACACACGGTGATGATTAGTGTAGTATTGAGGAGGCAATTATCAGGTGTAAATCCCTCCGTCCCATACCGTGAAAATATAAGATTGAGTGGTGTTATATATAACTGAAAAGTAGAGGTTCAGTTATTTTGACCTTTCTGTTATTTTGTGATTTAAAAAATATAGTGAAATCATTTTTTTAAATCTGACGTAGCAGACAGTTTTTTTTCTAAAGGCTCTTTCTTTTTCTCTCTTAAAAGAAAACAAGAATACTCTATGGTTTGGGATTTTGATTCTTTCATAAGAATAAAACAAGTCTTGATATCATCACAAGGCGAATTGAGGATTATACAGTATTGAAATTGGATAACATTTATTATTTTTTGATTTTAGGATATTCAACTATCATAATGGAATCATCAAGTTTTCATTTCTTTTACTGTAATTCTTAATAATTATGCCATGAGCTTGATTTGGTTGATTTAATTACCCTATCAATATCCTTGTGTATTAATTGCTTCTTCATGCAACATTAATTGATTTTAACACTTATCATTCCAAAAAAAAAACTATACGTCTAAAGCAATGATGATTTTGGAAGAATTGCAGTGAAGTATGATCCTTATTGTCATATAAATATGCACCAAAGAAACAATCTTCTCAAGAATCTTATACTAACAGGGAATTTAAGCTCATATAAATGGAGGGATGAAAGATGAAGAAGATTCATTATAGATGAATAATAGTATATGTACTAGCTAGCTCGGAATCTAGGACTAAACAAAGCTTCAGCAGCAGAGAAAGCTGCTATATTTTGGTAGAAATTAACAAAAGGGAAAATGATCATCGCCTAATTGATAACGTTAGAGGAAATCAGTGCACCGTTCGCATGCACAATCCACATATGTTTATATGATATCAAAATCCATTGTTGGGCCTACAGCTGCTTACATGAGATCATGGTGATGGTGTTGGTGAAGATAATGCTGTTGACGATGATAAGCAGAAATGGAGGTGCTGCTTTCACCCATATCTTGTTCAGGCCTATACTCTTCATCGATTTCTTCTTTCGCCACTTTCTCGATTCCCATATGGTATTCGACAGACCTTTGCGATGATAAGAACTGCGACTGTACCGGCTGAGACTCGCAGTACCCGGCAGAAGCTTGTGGCGGCACGACTGATGGAAGCTTGGAAAGAAGGGCTTCGAGGCTGCTCATGGAAGGAGTTATTTTCATTGGCTGACTGAAATGATCGTAGAATTCAGGTGGAGGTGGTGGCGCAATCGATGACCCTGACGGAAAATGCCCCCATGGTTCCGGTGTGCCATTGAAAGGGTAAGCAGAAGAGGAAGGGTGGGGCAAGAGTACTCCGGGAATGCTTTCTATGTAGCTGAACTTCTTTCTTAGTAGCACAACATAACTCAGGTCTTCAATTACCTTTAATGGAGATTTATATACGTACATACATACATATATATATGATACTGTCAGTGAAACATGATGGCAAAGCAAATTGTGTAGCTTTTGAGAGAGAAAGAGAGAGGGGACCTTGTGAACAGCTCCTAGTTGAACAACACCTTCTCTAACTGCAATCAAAGCGATGGTCTGCAAACATATTAATTCAATTCAAAGCAAGTAAAAGTAGATTTAGATCTACCTAACCCTCTTTGAGATGAAGATGATTATGTTATGGTATATACCTTTATTCCTGCCTGGAACTGTGCTTCCCATGTCCTAGGAAACTACAGAAAGAAGATTTTGTGAGAAAACCGAAGGGTATAAGCATGGATTTGATGAACAAACATATATAAGTATATGCTTACTGAGTCTGCCGAGTTATGCCATGCTGACAAGAAGTTGATTTCCTGCTCATTTGGTTCTTTGTATATCCACTTGTGACTGTGATCTGCAGCCACTTTTCCTATCAATCTGCCCACGTTACCAGATCAAAAAAATCAGTTTGCTTGATATTAATAATTGAAATATCTTATGGAAAATTCTTACCCTTCTCCATAATTGTAGATTTCGTGTGACATCTTAAAGAAAACCTCCGGTTGAAGACCTTGACAGTGTTGAAACTCACCGCCGCCATGAACCGATGAACTGGGACAGTCGCCGGAGTTGATATCAGCAGCCGAGGCAGCAAAGTTGCAGAAACCATCTTCCCAAACTAATATCCTGGAATTTTGTTCAAATATGCAACACTATGAAATGGTGTTTATACCAGAAATAATTTATAAAAAATATGCATGGATTGGCATACCAGTTTCTCCTGTTTCCTCTTGACCTGTCATAAGCTCCTTGACCATCCCATCTATCATCACAGTAATAAAAAAAAAACACAATTATGTCACAAAAAGGTATTAAAAATTATAAAACTAGTGAGTGATTATGACAAATACGCATTAGTCAGACATGATAGATCCTTCATCTTGGAAGATAAAAAAAAAGGAAACCTACAGAAACTTTTACTAGTTGTTTCTTGTATAATTTGCTTCCTTACTTGGGAGGTGGATAATTTCTGGGTAAGATCCTCCAAAAGACTGCATAAACCCATTGAGAGTTGTCATGAATGCACAGGCTTCTCAGTGTGTGTTGAAGAAGATGAGTAACAGCTAATGGACTGAGATGTTCCTCCATTAACTTTCCTTTACACCCTCTCTTTCATTCTCCTTTTTTTCCTTTAAAAGAAGGGAATAGCTTCACCTTAATCTGCTTTAAGCAAACCAACATGGAAATGTCACATTTATACCTCTCTCTCTCTCTCTTTCTCTGTTACTGTATTTGCATTAATCATGCTTTAATTTTACCAAAATGATTTTATGAGGCCCCACGGTTTCTGCAATCTCTGTTCCCAACGGTTCTCTTTTTATCAATCAAATTTCAAGCCTCCGTTTTCAAGAAACTGCTCTCTCTTGTACTAGTTGTATACTACTGCTATTTCTTCTCTGTATATACCCTTATTATTCTTATGCAAACATCCTGAGTTTTGATCCATTTCTGAGTATTTCTCTGAGGACCCATATCTCTTTGTATTCAACATCTTTTAAAATTTTCTTTACCTTTCTGACACATCTAGGTATAACCACTCGTTTCAGTCCCAAGATCGACGCTTATATTTGCCACCTTCTCTATTTATTCACTCTCAATATTCCATTTCTCACCATCATTTTGGTGCATCCAAGATCAACAACCAAATTATTTTCTACTATACATGCATGAAAACAAGATTAGTATTAATGAATGAAAAAATATGTTATTACTAGAGTACACGAGTTCAAACAGTTGTATAGGTGCGCATTATCAATAATTAAGAAAGATTTTAATTAAATATTACTTTATAATCACCTTAAATTATTCAGAAAAAGATAACATAAGCATGATGGACGATCAGATGATATATATATATATATATATATATATATATATGTATGTGTATGTAAAGGTTGTGAGCGTCGAAAAAACACGATGGGACCCCACACATGGAAGTGCTAGAGCACAAAACTCACATGATTCTGTTCATTTCTCGACAGGTTCATTAAGTGGTATGTTTGACTAGCTTAGCTCAAGAGAGATGGAGAGTTTTCGTTGTAAATTTTGAGAAATGAATATGGTAAATTGATAATCACAAACAGTTTTTGTACGCTTTGAACTATACGCGGATATTGAAGCAAAGATGTATGAGAACCAGTGTACTTTTCTACTAGTAAGATTTTCTTTAGTTTTGGGATCTCTCTTTTCTCTCTTCTGCAGTTTACATGATGACTAAAATGAGCTCTCAATTCAGCCTTCCTGACACCGAGAAAGTTTTTTCGACAGGCAATTATACGCTTGTGCTTTGACCGTCTGTTTATGACAAGACGAGATCATTACCAACTCTAATCATCCTATAATTCATCGACCAACTTCATTTCTTTTGACAGCGACAGGCCATGTCTATCTTCTCATTCATGGAGTTTATTATTATATTCATGACAATCCCTAGTAGGTTCAAAGCTGGTGTTTCTGTTTAAAGTTTGTGCGGTTGGTAAATGTACGGTCGCTTTTTGCGAGGTGAAAACAGCAGTGCTTGGGACAGCGTCTGATGAATTGATGTCAGCAAAAGCCCAAGTGAAACTAGCTTGGATTTTACTCGTACAGTAAGAAGCATTATTCTAGAGGGGTGAAACAATTATAAGGATCGTCCCTCTTACTTTATATTATGTTTGTGGAGAAATGTTGGGTGTAATCATTGTACACGACTCATCTATCTTGGTTTGGATGAAAATTTGTAATAAATAATTTTAGGATTAGTTACGAGTTGAAGACCATGAACAATGTTTATATATATATATATATATATATTAAAAGGTTGAATATCAGACAATGAAACACAATCCAATATTGCATAGTTCAAAGCAGGCAGAATATCCCTATCCTCCCATAATTCTTGCCTTGATGTTTAGGGTTCTAATTAGTTTAATATTGGTTTTGGAATGTTTGATTGTAATATTATATGCATAATAGGTTTCATGTCCTTGCTTTTGAGAAACATGGATCATACACATGATGTCCAAAAGGTCTAAATTTCAGTGCTTTTCTTGAAGTAATGAAATATATATTGTCATCTTAACGGAGCACTTTGTTTGTTACCTTTAGTTGATCGATGTACTAATTTTACTATATTAATTTAATCCACGTTTCCCGACACGGGTTTTTGTCTGAAAAAAAAACCTGCTAAGATCTTCCCAATCAATTTTTTTGCATGATGCATGCATCTTCAATCCTCATACTTATCTGCCCACATGTTTATGGCATGTTCACCTTACCAGTTGATGTAGGACGACTTTACCTTAACATCATATATTTTTCAGACGACTATCATATATTTTTCAGACGACTATAGTTTCTTAATATGATTATTAGTTGACTTTCATGACCTGCTTCAGATCTATAAAATCTATTAATATAAAAATAACCATTATTATCCTATATATGGTACCAACAGCGAAAATATATATAAAAATCATCATGTAAAGCTAAAAAATATATCTTTCCTTTTAATCTCCTCTCTTTTATTCATAATTTCTTTCTACCTTCTAATTCATTGTTTACGACTTTTTACTTAAAGCAGAAAGAATGAATCGTGAAACATCATCACAGTTCCATTCATGCCACCTACAATTATGAAACTTTAAGTCCGGTTGATTGTGGATCTTATAACAAGTGGTTAAGTACCTAACCTCTTTATTTTGTATTTATTTTTTTTTCACGGTGAGGGACATATGGTTTGAACTTTAATTATGGGTTGATGTTTGGTGAGCAGAGGTACAACTTCGTGCTGAAGTCATCTCTGCCCTTTTTTCCCCAACAACCAGTATTAGTGGAAACAACATTTTGAAGCAGCTGTATTGCATGATGTGATTGTTCTTTGATTATTGGGGGATCTACCTAGCTCTCAACGTTTCTATAATGAGTCGTTGGATAAGGTGGGAAAAAGGATGAATATTTCTCAATGCGCAAACCAAAGTATCTACATACACGTTTTGCATGATTAGGGATGCCCTACACCAAATATATTAAGGCATTTTAATTCTGTAAGAGGGGAACCAAACCTTGGTCAAATCTATCAAAGCCACTGGGGATTCTAGCTTTCCAACGAAGAGAAAAACTCCAAGACATCACGTGAAGCATCGTGGTCACTATCTACGACCTACAAAAGCTTGTGTAGTGTGTACCCACCTAAAAACTCTCCAGTAAAAATATAATATTGGAAAAAATTATACAAATCTGAAATAAAGACGGTCCTTTTTAGGCACTTTCTCTAACCTTTTCAGCACCGTAAGTAAAACCAATAATAGTTCCTCCAAATAAATAAATAAGAACTCGAGTAACCCTTGACTTCCTGCCCACACCCAACTTTTCCCTTATCATGAATGTAGGAAAAAGTCCGACAAAACTTTTGAGACAATGTTTTGGAAGAAATTAATTCACGAGATAATGCATTCCACAGATTAATTGCTCAAATAAGGTGAAATCTACAGTGTTGGCCGTAGGTCGACATGCATTTCGGGCGACCTACTACGTGGCAGCTTCCCGGTGAACTCACAGAGAGAATGAACGTGTTGCATGGCACATGCACGTACCAACACATAGGTCGTCATGCCCTCCGGGCGACCTTGTAGGTCGCCATGCACTCCGGGAGACCTACCCTTGCTCGCTCGCTCAGCTGCCCTCGCATTGCTCGCTCGGCTGCCCTCGAATAGCTCGCTCGGATAACCTCGGATGCTCTCACATAACTCGGTCGGATGGCCTAGGCACGTACATGGCACATGCAATCTCTCGTAGCTCACCAGAAAGACATGGCGACCTAGTAGGTCGTCCGAAAGGCATAGTGATCTACAATCAACACTGTGGATTTCACCCTATTTAAGCAATTAATCTTGGGAGTGCATTATCTCATGAATTAATTTCTTCTTGAATATTATCTCTAAAGTTTTGCCAAAAAGTCCCCTATATACACTATTGTACCATTTCAAGCTCCCATTCAATGCTTTATTCATAGGCTTTGATCCAATAAAACTTATGTATTTTCCCACCTCTTCTGAAGAAATGGAAAGTGATTGGTCGACTTGACGATGGTCCAACCTTCTCTTATTGTGGATGCATCTGTTCAAACACTAGATCTTCTCATTGGAGCTTGTAAAGATCTGGCCATCTTCCTCCCTTCATACCCCTCATCCATTAACATCACCATAAATAAAGTTAATCATGACCCAACACCAATAAAAGAAAAAAAAACGGGTACCAAGTTAGTGTGTTTAGGGTTTTGAACTGCTATTCTTAGAGCCATGCAAATGTGTGCTTAAGGTTAAGCAGTTGATTAAGCTGTCCTTAATCATCATAAAAGGTTTGTTTGAGTCGAGTGAGGAAAGAAGAAGAAGAAAAGGGAAATATGATTGCACCACTTGGGTGGCTAGCTTTTGATGATGATGGATTCTTTAACAAACAGAGTACTGAAAGTGACACACAATCATGGAGAGATTGAATAGGCGTCTAAAGTTCCTTGGTTGAGGACAACACGACTCTCAGATTTCATCCAAGGAGAGAGATTGAGACATTTGATCAATCAAACAAGGAAGTGACCCCATCCCTTCTGAATTTGTTAAGCGCAAAAACAATAAATCAAAATTAACATAAAATAAGACATATGTAAGATAGATGATTTAATGTGGTTGAAATTTGCCTAAATGCACCTATAAATAAAATAATATTCACCATAAATGTAAAAATCATGAAGGATACAAAAATATAGAATCACATTTATCTCAAAACTTAATATCAATACTAAAAGCTGATATATCTCAAATTAATCCCTCAATATTTCTATCAAACTTATATCTACAACGTAAACCCAAAAATTACATATACTACATAATGATTGTATCTCTAAAATATTTTCTTCTAACAGTTTTTAGCTAAATGAATTTAATCACAAACTAAACTTCAACTAATATAATTATAATAAAATTCAATTTAATTTCTAATTATAATAATACAATTTGAGTCAATGTTTAATAATATGCTCGAAGCATAATACACGCACACATATATATATATATATATATATATATATATATATATATATATTGATGTGATGTAAG